TGTGTAGCAAATAAACATGTGGAACCTTCTCCGGGTTAAAAATAACAGTTTTTTCAGGATTATTTTCTCCAACTTCCATTTGCGCTTCAGAATCCTCGTTGTATGATTCTGCTGCTGCTGTTACTGCAGGATCGTATTTTACATCGACATTTGTCATGCTTCGTCTCGGCATTCCTGAACATAACCACAACATACGAAGGATGTATTTTTCCCTTACACAACTCGTTAAAGTTAAAAGAGTATATCAAACGTTTTTAAGAAAAGCAAGTAATTCCTTTCGCTTTTGAGCCCGCAGATACTGCTTATACATAAAACAACACCCGTATGCAAACTCATGCTCCCCTTCGGCTTTTCCCGCCTTTTGCAAAATCAAGTAATTTCCCACAATTTTTTATTTCTGCTGAATGACACTGGCTTAGCACTTCCAGCCTCAGCTAATTATACGTCACGCTATCGCCACAACAGCGTTTCTCCCTACAAGCCAAGAGAAAAGTGAGGAATAACGGCTGAAAAGCATGCCCTCTACTAGAGTTTTCTGTTCGTTGTCCAGTGCTTCCAGATCAAATTCTTTTGACATTTCCGATAACAATTCTGCAGAGCATAATTTGCCATGCTGCCCATCTTCATTTTCTCCCTCTGGTGGTTCTGTGAAATAGCGCAACTTGCCAGTGTTCCAGTCGACCAATACCTGTGCGCAGTATGTGAAATTTTTTGGGATCGAACTTTACTTGCCGAAATCGAAAATTAGAAGAGCGACCTTAATCGCACGAAAAAAAGAAGCAGTTACTCAGACGACCGTTGATGAACTAGTAGATTTGGGTAGGAACTGAATCGTAGGTTAAATGACACTGAACGGCCTGACATAGTATCGCGCGACTCGCAAGTTAACTAACTTCAATAATATTATGATTACTAGAGCATTTGTTCAAGCGACAGCTCGGCTTTATACTGCCACATCGAAATTATCATGAAAAGAAACTTAGGTGGGATGCAGGTATGTTTAAAGTGAAAGCACATACTTTCTTAGCAGCAGCACTCATATCAGGACGACCGCCTTTCTTTAGCCGACCAATTTTTCGTGCAATGTAAGCAAGGAATTCATCGCATGTTTTGAACTCGGGTATTACGTAGTGAAGGATCAACTGCAATCAACAACAACATCATTCTCAACACAAAGGCTCTTAGCAGTACCAGTGTATGGCGAAGAAGACAACAATCAAGCAGTAACTGTTCACAGTTTTCTCATAAATATCACAGATAAATTTCCGAAAAATTCCGCAACTCAAGCAACGATGCGTTTCATCCTAGTTCAGTTTCCTCCTAAAGTTAGGTTTTTGAAAAATACCTAATATTACAAAAAACGCACTTAACATTTTCATTTAATTTTTGACATATTTCACCTT